ATCGTAACTAGGTTCTTTTCAAACCTAGAACCTATCTAATTTTGTCTGTCCTTCCAATTATGTACCGAGGTATGACCCTTAAATACCAGTGCTACCAAAGCCACCAGCACCACGAACACTCTCCTCCAGCTCCTCGACAACGCTCACTTCAGGGGTGTAGATCTAAAACAGGTCAGACACATTCACAACATACAGTATTGATAGCCGGAACTCACCCGCTCCAGAACCAGCTGGGCAACGCGATCACCCGCCTTGACTGGGAAGTCGACGTCAGAGTGGTTGAACAAAAGCACCTTGACCTCACCGCGGTAGTCGGCATCAATGACACCAGCACCGGTGTCAATGAAGTGCTTAGCAGCAAGGCCGCTACGGGGAGCAATGCGGCCATCTGTATTCGTCATTAGTATGACTCTTAACCCAACTCAGCCTCAACAAGCTGAGAGCTCCGCCAAATTTCTCAATCTCAATCCCCATCACAGGTGTCACATACAAGTTCCCTCGGGTACAGCAATAGCAATACCAGTGTCAACGGCGCCCTTGCCCTTAGCGGGGATGACAGTCTCCTTTGCAGCGTAGATATCGTACCCCGCAGCAAAAGCCGAGCCGCGTGTTGGAGCCTGGGCAGACTCAACGAGCTTCTTAACAAGCAGCGGGGGCAGCGGCTGCTGGATCGAGGTGACAGCAGCGGTGGTCATTGTGTCGGGCTTTGATCGTTTCGGTAGCGGGGAGGTAGGCAGGGAAGGCGGATTGTGCGCCGGGAGGGATTTCTCTTGAAGTGGCGGGGTGGTCTCTTTGGTCATGGTAGACACAAAATGGTTAGAGGATCGAAGATCGAGAATTGAGTGGATAGAGCTGTGGTAAAAATAACAGGGACCCGCAGTGAGTTGGCTAACGCAATTGATAAAGCGCCCCTAGCTTGATAAAAATTGCGGTGAGCTCCACGCTCGACGCCTTTCTGCGCGTCTCACCGCTGGGACGCGCCGAGTGTTTGTTCTGTTTGTTTTTTCTCCCCGCTCCCCCCTCGAGCGGTGACGCCGAGGAAATGCTGGGGCCGAGGTCCCCCGGTCACGCCGAGGAGGTGCCCCGGCATTTATGGCTTGGCTGTACATATTACTCTTTAAACAGTCAGTCACCTTGCCAAATATATACGCTTTCTCCACAATCTTTTCGCACAGTCCTTTCCTCATTTTATATCGACATAATGGCGGGAGAAGTGCGCCAGCCTATAGATATCCCCTCGTTGGAGAAGTACATTGACCAACATGTTCCAGAGGTCAAGACTCCACTTGATGTGAAGCAGGTGAGTCTGGCCCCGTCAATCACCAAATGAGCAATATCAAACGGACGAACTAATATTTTGTCACGATAGTTCGGCTTCGGTCAATCGAATCCTACCTACCTTCTTACTGCCGCTGATGGCAGGCAGGTCGTTCTGCGCAAGAAGCCTCCTGGCAAGCTGCTTTCAAAGACGGCTCATAAGGTTGAGCGCGAGTATAAGATTATCCGGGCATTGTGGGATACCGATGTACCTGTTCCCAGGGCGTACTGCCTGTGCGAAGATGACAGCGTGATTGGAACCGCATTCTACATCATGGAATTCCTAGACGGGCGGCATTTCACCGACCCAGCGATGCCAGGTATAAGCGGGGAGGAGAGGAAAGCACTGTACGTCGCGATGGAGGCTCCAACGCTGACACCAAAAACCCCCAGTGACTGCGCAATACTAACAAGCATGCAGCTGGAAGAATGCAGTACAAACGCTCGCAAAGTTCCACAGCGTAGTCCCTAAAAGCGTCGGACTCGAAACGTTCGGCAAGCCGACAGGCTTTTTTGACCGCCAAATCGCCACTTTTAAGACGATCTCCAAAGCACAAGCAGCAGTCGTCGATGCCGACACCAAAAAGCCCGTCGGTGAACTCCCTCACTTCGACGACATGGTGAAGTTCTTCTCGCAAAAGAGCACGCAACCACTGGACCGGGGCACCCTCGTGCATGGCGACTACAAAATTGACAACATGATCTTCCACAAGACGGAGCCGCGCGTGATCGGCATCCTAGATTGGGAAATGGCGACCGTAGGACACCCCCTGTCAGACTTCTGCAACCTCACAAGCCCCTACATAATCGACGGTGGGGACAGCCAACTGTCGCAGTTCGCGCCGGGGGTTGTTCCAGGGCTGCCACGGCGCGAGGAGTGCATTGGCTGGTACGCCGAGACGTCTGGGTACGAAACGAGCTCGGACGTGGCGTGGGGCGATGCATTTTTTGCGTTCCGAGGATCCGTGATTATGCAGGGCATTGCGGCCCGGTTCGCTGGGAGACAAGCTAGTAGTGCGAGGGCTAGTGATTACGCGAAGAGGGCAAAACCGTTTGCTGAGGGGGCTTGGGAGAGGGTTCAGCTTGTGAAGAGGGCTTCTGCTGGAAAATTGTAGTCTTCTTACACTCTGTAGAGATTTGACTACTTGCGGGGAAGCTTTTGATGGTTTTAGGTTTGGCATTGTATATACTCAGAATCGAGGCCTGGACTTCACTTATTCCATTCTAGCGCCGTCTACATGTAGGTTGAGATGAGCCGATCTGAATCTAAATCGGATTCTTCAGCTTATTAGAATGTAAGGCTGGTCCAGAACCAACTCTCCATGAAACAATCAAAACCCCACTCTATGGGTGTGTGCATGGAGGTTATGTACCGAATACGGAGTACAAGCCCAGAACAGCTAGAGTCAAGTACTTTTGGCGCGCCTGACGTGTGGACGTAAGCACTTATCCCGATGGGGACCAACGTTCGAGAACGTATGGTATAATATCCTGCGAGGATATCACGTTTAATGTACGCCATCTCATCCGATCACACTACCGAGCGGGATTGAGTACTCCGTAAAACGGTAGAGATATACAAGTAATGAGTCGGGTAAAAAAAGAAAAGACCAAAATACAAAGTACGTATATTAAAAGATTGTAAGACAGAAGTACAAGTAACGTAAAAGAAAGAAGCAAAGTACACCGGTGGAATACCGCATCGTGTAATGTCCGTTGAGCTCATCTGCGGGCAGACAAGTGGTCAATGGATTATGATTGGATGCAAAGGAGCGAAAAAAGTGAGGCTTTTTTTATCTGCCCTGCGGCTCTACGTGTAAGTGAGGCTGAGGGAGTGAAGAACTCCACTTCTTATTTTTTTCTTAGACTTCCAAGGAAACATGATTCAATAGCAGGTTTGGGATAGGGTTAGGTATTCAGATAGGCATCGGTTTCAAATTAACTAATCTATTCTCGATTATCCACAATCCACTAGTGTGAGGGGATGCGGCTGGGATAATTAAGGGAATTCGGGAATTAGGGGTTTCGGAGTGTGGCCGACTGGGGTTGGACAGCACATCTATGTATGCAGGTGGTATAGCGTAGTATTACAGTTACGTGGATTATAGTTAGGGGTATTATACACCATGTAGAATGTACCATGTGGGATCATCGAACTATACTAGTAGTATAGAAAGATTGTCTCTTAACGAGGCTCTGAAACAACGTGGGCTGGACGATCTCCTTACCGCAGACAGCGCGTTGACAATCCAACCGGGACAGCCTGAAGATCCTTCGGGCTGACGGCTCGAGGCTCCCAGGTGTTAGCGTGCCAGCGCAGTGAGTCTGACGTTGCAAAGGTAAAAAAAGGACCAAAAGGCGGGACGGAAAGAGGAAAGAGGAAAGAGGAAATAGGAAATGGGAGAAAAGTGAACAGACCGTGTGGGCCCCCCTCTTCGTGCAGGTTCCCTAGCCGGGTATAACAGACTTGGGAGTGGAGAGAGATAGAGGGGAAACGACTTGAGAGTTGCACCCCGGTTGTTGTCTCCAAGTTTACTGGTGGAGCCTGAATAGAGAGAGTAGCGGTGGAGAAATCATTTCTTTCCTTTTTTTCCCTTGGCTTATGTTGTATGTGCGACCAAGTTCAAATGCTCCGGATCGAGGGATGGAGACTATTCAGGGAATCCGAGAGGAAGTTGAAAAGTGAAGATATCGAGAGATGAGAAGGGAAATCATGGAAATACGGAAATACTCGAAAAATACCAGAAAAATACCAGACGCAAAAATACAAACCTCGGGAAATAGAATACCCGAATAATCAAATCGAAACCCGGTAAATACCAGTCACGGTAACGTAACGGGTAATCTATTCCTCTGTGGAGCTCCGAGTTGAGAGCGAGAGCCGCATTATTATTGTCTTCTCTCCCAACCCCCCTCGAATATTCCTTGGACGTTGATTCTCCTTTTCTCGGTTGACGCTTTTTTTCTTTCTTTCTGGTTTGGCCGTCGGATTACTGGCATTATACTGGTAGATATTGCTGGGCCCTAACTTGCACGTGTAGAACGTGGTATTATCTCACCCTTAGACTCGTTTCTCTTTTTTTTCCCCGAAGCCTACAACTTCTCCCTTAGTTTTCCTTTCTTCCCTTGCAAGAGTTCCTGTACAGTTTCCAACCTGCAAGCTTCTTTCCGAGGGATATTCATCTGCAGATGGCGCAGTGACAATCGGAGCTTTTAAGCCTCATCCCGGGACCCATTCACTACCCGTCCACCTTTCCGCTTGGGTAAGTGCACTTTCTGCAGACCTCGAAACTGAGTAGTCTAGAGCTTCGGGGTCTCGTTTCTTTTTTCTTTTCTGTTTTTCTTGCGTTTCCTACTTTCCCTATTTTCTTGTCTCTTTGGTTTCCGACTGGTGTTCGTTTTATTCTCTCCGGGTCATCCTGACCTGACAACCCCTCATCTCCTCATCTCAACACTTTAACCACGGACAGTCTTTGTCGGCATTACTTGCTTTTCTGCTTTTCTATTGTATGCACTTAGCTCGTGCTTCTCATTCATCCGATCACCAAGTCACAATTACAGCCCCTCTCTAACCATATCTTACAGACTTATTGATGTGTGATCGTCAATTCAATCAGTCAGACCAACACCAAGTATAAGGCGAGGTGCCCGATGCACCTGCCACTTTCTTTATGACATCCGCTATGTATGATTCGGATGATGCTTTTAATCGGTCGCCTCCTCTGGAGGCGATGAAACCCAACTATGGAGAAAGCGAAACACTACCACCATTTGTTTCCGCGAGCGAAAAAGAAGCCGACGCAGAGGGTTCTCGTAAGCCCAACCAGCTGAAACCTCAGAACTCAACCCGTGAGGGCGACCGAGTGCTGATGGAGTATCTAGCTCCGCACCACCCTGAGATTGCCGCGGCGGCAAGGATTTCTCCATTGGAACCATTACCCGGGAATCTAAAAAATCATAAACAGCCGCCTGACTTTGATCCCAGAGATTCAAAGAGGTTAAATTCGTCCGCAAAGGAGGGCCAATCAAAACCGGAACTCAAGGCAGCCCCGGGACCAGTCTCGGGCTCGGCCTCACATAAGAGTAAACCCCCCCGGAGGAGATCGCTCCCATTCAAGCCTATACAACCAGATAATAAGGTGAAAGATGAGTTTGTACCAAGAGAGCGACTTCAATCATTAAGTGGCTCGGTTCAACGACCCCAACAAGTGTTGCCCCATCTCAAAACTCCTCCGGAAAGAGAGCCCCAAATTCCCCTCCCATCATTAAAATTGATCCAATCATCTTCTGGATCGTGTCTTGCAAAGTCTCCAGACAGCAATAAACAAACGCTGCCGTCAATTCACAAAGCTCTCAGCGCATTGTCAGACTTCGGCGCCCCAACAGTCAACACAATGTCATCGCCCTTCCCCTTCTCCTCCTGTCCCGGATCAAGTACATCGGGAAATGATTCTCCATTCGACCGCACTTTTCCAGGAAAGTTTTCCATTCCTGCAAGTCCATTTTCTCACTTCTCGCCGGTGAGCATGAAGGACTCACCTACCAACCCTTCTCCGGCCTCGCACTCGTCCTTCTGGCGCGGACCACCACATTCTGAGATGCTGTCTGTCCAGACTCCGTACGACGCTTCCCCTATGACTGCCCAGAATCCAGCGACCAGTTACCCTACACCCACGGAACAGGTTGGCGCTAGTATGGGTGATCGGCATTCGCTTGCTGCGTCCACTCCCCAGGCCAATGGCCCCCTGGGTAGTTACAGGTGTACACATTCTGGCTGCACTGCTGCACCCTTCCAAACTCAATATCTCCTCAAGTAAGACCAAAGAGACGACTCAAGTGAAACCCCCACCTAACGAAATAGCAGCTCTCATGCAAACGTGCACTCACAAGACCGCCCACACTTCTGCCCGGTAGAGGGCTGTCCACGCGCACTAGGCGGAAAAGGTTTCAAGCGTAAGAATGAAATGATGCGCCATGGCCTCGTGCACAACTCCCCAGGCTACGTCTGTCCCTTCTGTCCAGACCAGCAACACAAATACCCGCGACCCGACAATCTTCAACGGTTCGTGCTACATCCGAGCCTCACTTAATCTGATATCAGCTGAACTCACGCTCACACAGACATGTTCGTGTACATCATGTCGACAAAAACAAAGATGATCCCATTCTCCGACAGGTTCTCGCGCAACGGCCGCTTGGTAGCACCCGCGGGAGAAAACGAAGGATGAACAATACATGAACCTTTAGCCTCTTGTTTATTCTTTATCCTTTTTCATTCTATTCCTGTTTACATCTTGCATTTCCAACTCATTTCTATTGTGTCCATGCTCTTTCTATCCCACTCGTTCCGACCGGCGTGTACCCTCTCCAACACCCCCTCTCTCCCACATTCATGCCTGTGTTCCCCGGGTGTTCCAGATTTCCAGATTAGCGCCTCAGTACGACATGCTAATCCCTCTTTGAGGTAACTTTGCAACTTTACGCGTGACGAATTTCTCAGCTGTGATACCTTTTTGCTGTCTTTTATTTTGTTACCTTTGGGTACTTTTGTTTGGTGCTTCTGCAATGATACCACCTGTCCATTGTTAGAAATTCATGATGTTACATGGGCCATTCGTTTAATTGGAGCATTGTGAGTCTTTCCTATTTTTACTATTTTATCTTCTTTGTCAATTCATTGGGGTATCATGAACCCTCTGTTGAACACTTTACTTGGGACTTTTCAAAATCACACTCGGGTAGAAGTCTCTTTCCCGATGCACCATAACTTGATATTGGTCTTGCCAGCTTTTCTTCAAATTCGCGTATGGTCAATCTGATCTGATATTCCCTTTGAGATTCAACCTTCTGGCCTTCGATCAACCTGGTGGTGATTTCAATCAAGTCCGGGTGCCGGACTATAACCCGCCTCCCTCAATTCCACGCACTTTTCTATCGGTTCCATGGCCTCACCATTTCGAAGAGTTCCCCAGCCACCAAGTTGTGCTTCCCTAGGGTATCGCAATGATCCAGGCCTAGGGCCTTTCTTCCGTCTATCACTTGCGCCATAATCGAACCCACCCACCGCTGTATTAGGTGCATAGTCACTGCATCTGCATCACGGCTTAGGTTTTGATGGCTTGCTGGCCGCAGTGCGCTTGCCGATTGTACGTGTAAGAAGAGCAATTTTCATCAATCCGAATTCTCAAAGTGGGAAGGTGGAAATTGACGACTACGAACTTTTGATAAAAGAAGCATCCAATAATTAGTCTATATATCCGTCCCAGTGGCTGCAGATTCTCGAATAAAGCGATAATCATCAGAACGGTCAAGTATGAGAGCCCAAGTCTCTCTACCATCTCAAATGCAAACGCAGAGAAGCCCGAATATGCCGGTTGGTCCACGCGGCCGGGAATGCCCGATTAAGTCTAGGGTATCTTAACAGCCCTGCTTGAGACGAGCCCAATCATGCATCTACGGTTCATTCCACCATTTACGATATAAAAGTTCCGCGCCCGATCCTGTGGGGCTACCAAGACCTTCCGGCCCGATTTATTCTCATGGAGGTTCGTGTTCGCAGCCAGCCAAAACGCAGCCAGCTTAATCGGCATATTTCTGTGTTACCTGTAATGATTTCAATATGGACGTAAAATAGACGGTGTTAAGAAATGTGTTTACTTAAGACATTGTGTAATCCAGTGGGTCATCAGCTCCAGACAGGGGTGGTTTAACCGACAGGATTATGAATTTTAAAACTCTCTTACCATCCGGGTTTGCCTCTTCTGTTGACTCTATCTTGCTATCTTATGTTGTTTGTTTTATTCGGGTACATATAATTCGCCACCATGAGGTTATCGCTATTCAGGAGCAAGACGAAACCCAGTGTTCCAGAATACAGTCTGTAAGATTTCGTAATAGATAAACGAGGTACCGAGCTAATAATGTCGAGGTACCCCACAGAAGGTGCAATTGGGATGAAGGTATTATCTGATCCTTCAGATGCTGACCTAGAGTGAGTTCATCTTTCCAGGAAGGAGCCCAAATTAGATGAACAAAGAAGAAATGAAAACTGACATCCACTAAACTAGCATTGTTTTTATCCATGGATTGACCGGCGATCGCGAGAAAACATGGACTCACCAAAATGGAACCTTATGGCCCCGGGATCTTCTTTCCAAGGACTTGTCCAAGGCACGCATCATGACCTTCGGCTACGACGTCGACATATTCAGTTTTTCCTCGATTACCTTCTCAGATCGACTGCACGACCATAGCCAATCCCTAGCCTATGCAATTGTCAGCCAACGAATCGAGTGCTCAAGCAGACCCATCCTATTTATCGCGCACAGTCTGGGCGGTCTGGTATGCCAACAAGCCCTGATCCTCAGCAACTACATAGACGGACTATGGGCGATATCTTCAAGCGCCATCGGGATAATCTTCATGGGCACACCGCAGTACGGGTCCTCGCTCGCTTCTTACCGAGAGAAACTCGCAAAAGGGATGAACATAGTCCACACCGCAAACAGAGACATGGTCGGGGCTCTCCACCCGGGCTCGAACGACGTACAACGAGTTGGAAACGAGTTTCAGTCTATGCTCCATTGCGGCGACCTCTCCCTCAAGGTCTTCTGTTTCTACGAATCGAAAGATATGAATGATATAGTGGGCAAGATCGTTGAAGAGCACTCGGCTGTTCTGCGGGGTTATGAGAGCTGCGGCATTGATGCTGATCATTACAACATGACCAAGTTCAGTGGTCATGCAGATAATAGTTATTGGCTTGTTCGATCAATCATTACAGGGTGGCTTCATGAGTCCCGTAGTGGTGATACTGCAAACAAGACTACCATATGCGCTCCTGTCTCTGGAAATCCTGCTTGGTTGGGATCTTGGACTCCAGGGAATTCGTGCGTTAATGGGACCACAAATTCGCAGAATTACACCCAAGGATATTGCACGCACGGCGAGAAGTCTGTCTTCGACTGAGGAGCATCTACACAAAATATGGATGTGTGCGAGCCCAATGGCTACAGACAGAGATCTATAATAAATGCTTTTGTTCCTGAACTACTGGGGTTCATACACGTTTCAAATAGAGTTAAGCTTCCAAGACCAACCTTGGAACACGTGCGAAGCTGAAACCTTGGAACCTTGGGTTGCCCAAAGTTTCAGATTACCTGATGAAACACACCCTTAGAAGACCAAGTACATCACTCAGAATTATGCTGTCAGCCTCCCCTAACATCCTTCGGGTGCAGGTGTGTTGCCGGGGCCTGGCTGGGTTGGTCTTCTTACGGAGGCCCTGGTCTGGTTGAATCTAGCCACGTTATCCAAGTTGCATAGCTGGCGAATCCAAAGAAGACGATTCTTTGGGATTGATGGTTTACTAATTAGATGGTATTTGGCAGCAACCAACGTGCGGAGGCGGGTTTAATAGGTTCTGAATGGACGAAGTACACCTCGCCTCGTCTGGTCTTGATATAGAAAGGCTATAATTTGGATCATTGCACTAGCTTCGAGACATACATACCATAAGAAAGAAATTCTTACCTGGATACCCTAGATAGAAAATGCAATCGAACAATGCCCGCATTCATGTTTAGTTTTCACTCTATGCCTGCCGCCACTGTACATAGCCTCCACTAAGTAGCAGTGAACTCGCATGATGGAGGTTAAACATAGCATACTGTTTGTTGATAGAGGAATATGAGTAACTTGCATTATTAATAGATCTAGGGGAAATGCGCGTTTCATCTGGTCTATTTCTGCGTAAACGTCTCGGATGCATAATATGATCACGGGTCACGGGTATTCGATTACACAGGCCTTTTTTCAATATTCCTATTATCAGGTGGTGATATTAGTCTGGCCTAGGGCGTTATTTGGCGTTAAAATTAGAATCAAGCATTTTTAGTCGCTTCTTACGGCGGTAGAATACTCGGCAATGCTCGAGTCTAATTCTAGACTTGCATATCTACATCCTCATACGCAGGTCTAGCATTCAAGCAGTGCAACTATACATTTTCGTATGGTTTTTGTTTAAACTTTCATGGACAAGGTAAACCCTCGCTAAACAGAACCGTTCATTGTCTAAATTTGCCATGCCTTTTCCCGCTTTGCCTACCAATGTTGTACATGAACCAATCAAACAAAATAGCAAAAAAAAAACCGCCGGGTAAACATGAACCAAAGTACCATAATCTTCATGGTGACCTCGCCGATTACTAAGCCCTTCCAGCCTGCCCCTTCCGATGAATCCTCCTCACATGGTCCTTCATATTGTCGACACGACTGAAAACCTTCCCACAGCCCTCCCACTCACAAAAGACACCAGGATTATGCTTCGCTTCATGACGAGCACGGTCCTTCTTGCTGCTAAAGCCATTCTTTGTAGACTGGGGACATCCCTCGTAGCGACAGAAGAGGTACTTGCGGTGGCGGTTGAAGTGCTTCCTCAGATCACAGCCTCGATGGAAGACAGCCTGCGAGGAACAGCCTGGGTGGGCGCAACGCCAGGTGCCGTCACCAGTTGGAATACCGTAGTTGCTTAAATCGCCTGCGTTGGAGCCCGAGCCTAAGCCGGAAGCCGAGCCCGGTGCGGCTGGTGGAGAATCTGGGTCGGAGAGGGAGCATGGTGGCGATGAAGATATTGAGGTGGTCGTAGTAGTGGATTGGTAGAGGTGGGTTGTTGGCGCTGGGACTGACTGATTTGACTGAGGAATTGAGACGGATTGGGGGATTTGGAAGAAGGTTTCTGGGGTCGGATCAGAAGAATGGAGTGGGCAAGAGAGCCACTGCTCGTTCGCAGTATTGACTTGGTTGTTGAATGTCGCATACGGCTCTGGTTGCACTTCTGTTGATGGTGGAAAACGCATAGAGCCTATGTTTTGGAAGGGTTGTGGCTGGTAGAAGTCTTGTGCTGGCTCGCTCTCAACACACCATTTGTCGATTTGCTGAGGAGTATAGCCCGACACGCCTGGTCCACTCATAGCGAGCTGTAGAGATTCCTGGGGATAGTAACCTTGAATGAAAGGCGTTGTGTTGTGGTCGATGGAGGTCTCAAAGGAGGGCATATGAGAAGAGTTTGAGAGGACGCCTGCGTTAGACGCAGTGGACCATGCATATTGAGACCCAATTGTACCAGTGTCTATCGATTCCCTTCTCCCGGTAGAATGATGCCCAGGAGCTAAGAAGGACCGAGGATTTGGCTGGGCATTCATAAAGTCTATCTGCTGAAGAACGGACATGTGAGAGCTGGATGTAGGCACATCGACCAAGCCTCCAATTCGTTGAGGCTCTGAGGACTCCGAGTAGCCAGCACTATCCGGCACAGTGCTATATGTACTTTTAGACTTCTGAGGACTAGGATACATGTTGGCGATGTCGGTGACGTTGGGGACGTAGGTGATGTTGTGTAATTCCTCTGAGGATAGAAAAGAGAATTCCCAGTCTAAGTATGCAAAGCTGTGTTTTGGGGGCCGCCGCTCTTGCATATCAATGGATGCTTAGTATGATTTCGCTCTCATAAATAAAGGATGTATGAACAAGTGTCCATGCGCTTGGGTTTTTTTGCCCGATAAGACTGAGAAGCCAAAGTTTCATAGAGTTTTTGCTGATTTAGAGCTGAACTTGTCTTCTAGACTAAGAAGAAACTCGCAGTGGAGTATTTATGGCCATCTCAAGTCAAGGAGGCAGTGCTGTAATCCTGAACGTCTAGGCGTTCCGCAGAAGAAATTGAAACTTGATCATACTGCTATGCTTGATATAGAATTGTTAACTGTACCAGTTATTATTGGCAATGCACCGAATGATCAATTGATACCGTTTCATTGATTCTTGGGGTTGACTCAAAGTGATTCAGAATGGCTGGATTACTGGGGCTGGGGGGGTCTACCGGCTTAGAGATGATCTTCGACCCACTCAGGGCTTGCAGGTATTGGCTTCTCATTTTCAGAACTATAGGACAACAGGCTTTTTCAAAGTAGGGCTGAAAGATGACGCCGTGGGTCTGCACATATACATACCAAGATTGGCTAGACCAAGACCGGCAGGTTTCTGCCAGAGATTAGGGTTTCATGAATCAACTATGATATTTCTAGGGTCTGCGTTGTGCGCTCGTATTACTGGCCAATAGAAAGCCACAAGACGCCCAGGATGCTAGGGATCACCAAAACTCGTGTTATAGTATTCTATAATATCTTTCTTGTCTTTTGTGCATGTTCTCTAGAAACACGTGGAAATGGTTCATCCTCATAGATATCAAGAGCCTCACTGTCATGGCCACTACACAAATTATGCCTAAGATTATACACATAATCCCCGATTCTATGGCACGTTATTAATTTCCGACTCCTTAACCCCATAATTTTAATTCAAGTTTCTGAAGGTTGAGTCAGCTTGAAGGTAACGTCAAAGCCGAAGGTAGCATCTCTTGCGTGGAGGGGTATCTTACTGGTAGGGAGCTAGGGTTGATATCTTGCAGATCAGTCACTCTAGGGCAGTTCTGTATGTTGTATGGTTGATCCGGATGCAACCCAGGTATCGCAATGAGCTCATGTCAAATCTGAGAATCTAGAGTTCAGCTTCAGCTACGATAGTAAGCCTTTTTTAGCACGACACCGACGGCTAGCACCGTTGGTGCACTGGTGGATAGACCGTGTTCTTTTCATGATTGGTCAATGTTCATAGATGTGTGCTTATCCCTTTATTCGACCACTCACATCATTCGGTGGGGGCCAAATACGGGGAGGCCGTTCAAATTGAGGAGCGGTGTCAATTTGATCGGCGTGAGCCTCACTGTGGCTTCGGGTCTATTATGCAGTCACTATGTGAATTATAACTATGTATTGTATTGTGCGACACGTTGTCTGGGAGGGTTTCGACCTGAATGCTTCCAGAATGACACGTTGTACATTGTACGCTGGTGGTGAGACCGAATATCTTCCGTCTAATAATAATATTCCTTGGCATAGTGTCTCAGATCCGAAATATATAGCACCACATTCATGATAGGACGGTTTATCATGTATCTAAATCATGGCTTATACCAAGCCCCCAAATCGTCAGATCACCAAGATCGGGCTGAGATGTGTGGTCCGGATTTCCGCCCCCACAATATCTCAAAGATCCAAGATCAGACTCCACTGCCTCTACAAAAATAGACACATATCCCCAATGTCTCAAATCCGGCCCCAAGGTCACTAGTTCGTCTCATGGATGTCTGTGTATCATACTCGATCTCCCACAGTATCGTCTTGTCCATCCAAGAGGGGCGATTGCTCGCTCGGACCAGATGTTCTCTTCAGGTCAGGAGTATCTCGGTATAAGACGTAGTGCTGGATGCAGAAGATTGCATCGAAGAAGATTGTAACGTTGCCCAGCAGTAGCTTGACTGGGTTGCCGGTAATACCGCTCCAGTCACTTTGAAGGCTGGAGTCAAGCACCAGTTGAAGCATTGAAAGTACACCACCAGCCATATCCAGAAGGATAGTTCCAATGTTCCAGCCTACTGTAGATTGTCGTTTGTAGTTCAACGCCACTTGGGGCATATATTTCACAATGGTGATCAGGAGTTTGACGTACGAAAACGAGTATATCTAGAAGGATATTAGCTTTGTTTTACAGTTTCCCCGTTGAGTTCATTGAAGAAAAGTAGATTTTTTCACCTACCACGTCAATCCACGCCCAAGTGGAAGGATCGTACCCTCCATCCGGACTTTGTGCCAACACGGCCACGATAACCACCAGAGGAGACAGGACACACCCCCAGAATATTCCAGCCATTAACCAACTGACTCTTTGGAAGCGGGAAACGTGGAAGCCCCAGATGAAAGGCCAGAACTGCGAGTACATTATGATGCACATGACCACCGCGTGTGCCGCAAATGCGAAATCGTTGAACCGAACGGTGGGTTCGATTGAGGCAGGGTGGCGGGCCGCATACTGTGATCTTATGACGGGAGAGTAGAGAAACGCGGAGGTATATATCGCATAGCAGACAAAACCCAGAGGGTTGATGGTGGATAAATCAATGGATAAGCCGACTGTGGACTTGCGTCTCCAGTTGGTGATCGGCTGGGGATAAAAAGACCCCGACCAGCAGAGCATACTTCGTTCAAGTTAGCCGTCAACCCAAACGTCACATGAGATATAAGATATAGCCTCGGAAGTAACGCGTAGACTTACTATGCCCATCCTAAAAAGCTAGGGTAAATTAGTCAGTCATGTTCATAATGCCCGGTGGCATTCGGGTGCGAATAGGAGTTCACAAACCGGGACAAAGCTCTAATAAATATCTCTAGTTGAGGAGTCATCTTGGATTGAGGCTACTCATTCCAAAGTGTCAGGCGGGGGAAGAAGAGAAGGTGTGGGATGTAACGATTCGAGCTCCATCGAACACAGCACGCAATCTTGTGATAAGATCAGCTGAGGATAAGGCAGATAAGATAACGAGGCAACAGCCTAACCGACTTTGGAAGGCGGTTACAATACCCATGCTGAGTCAGCGGCTGGTTGGCCCGGTAATTTGTCATAGGAAAACAGATGGCTGGGGAAATCGCTCAGCCTCTTGTTGTGATTCCTCTCTGCCCGATGTTTCCGTGTGACATGCATCTTTATTATTCTATGTCAATCTCGTTGTCGGACGCTTTTTCAATCCTATCCTAATCTCACATCCGAATCCGTACGACTTTCTTTCTTTCCCTCTTCTTGCGCTCCGCCTCGACTCTTACTATACGGCTTTCTCGAACCATACTTAGATCTTGTGATACGATCAGTCCAGCGCCCATAAATTGGTCAACATACAATCAGTTTCGTTGACTGTCATTGGGCATTCCAGTCGAAATCTCGATCCCATTATCGCATGGTGCATTCCTCGGATCGGGAGATCTCGAAAGATCTCCTTCGGTAAATCTGACATTCCAGACTGAAGATCGCATGGTCATTCGAGAATTATCCGCAAAATGTCAAACTCAGATCTCGCCGCTGCAGGGAGCAGCACATATTCATCCAATACCCTTCATGTTGGGGATGGCACCTGGGACTCTGGGCGGGATACCTTCCTACTGCCCAATTTGATGGGGGTCAACTTTGAGACGATGCGATACAATGGTTAGTCGGACGCATCAACAATCGGCTTTCATAATGGTGTACACCCTTTCAATTATCTTGTAATGACTGACACTTTACAGGCATGGGGAACCGTTTCAAGGATATGGCCGGGTACCATTCCATAATCATCGCGCACGGCGTCATTGCAACAATCGTTTTCTTGGGCATCGTCCCAATATCAACTTTCATAATCCGATATTACTCCCGATGGAATCCTTACTGGGCATTCAAATTGCATGCTTGGTGCCAGGTACTTACCCTGCTCTTGACCACGGTTGTGTTTGTGCTTGGGTGGTTCGCCGTTGGGCCACAAAGAAGCCTAACCAACCCACATCATGGAATCGGCCTGGCAATCTATGTTTTGGTTATTTTTCAGGTGCTGTGGGGCTGGTTTGTGCACAAGAAAGAGAGTAAGAGACGGCGAGTTCACGTTCCTTTGAAACTGGTGGTAAGTGAAGTCTCAAGAAGGGATATAAGGGCTCTTCTAACATGTCTTAGGTTCACCGGTGGCTGGGTCGTGCACTTCTACTTCTCGGAATTGCTCAAATTCCACTAGGACTCACGCTCTACGGTTCGCCAAAGGTCCTATTCATCCTATTCGCGCTGACAGCTTTCGGCTACTTGGTTCTTTACTTTTTACTTTCCTACCGATATGACTTTGAAGGATACCACATGGGAAGTGACCACGGTGATGACCGCAGTCATTATACAGGACCTTCAGAGATATCAGAGCACCATGGCAATCATGCGGCAGAAGCTCTCGCCGCCGGCGCTGCGGGTGCTGGCCTAGCTTCAATGTTTCGACGGCGTTCAAGCAGTCGCCACCCAAGCCATGCTTATGAAGACTCTCGCACATCTATCTCTGATGAAAAATATTCAGATGAAGCTTCCCGTCATCATGGTGGTGGTGGTTTCGGCAAGAAACTCCTCGAGCTTGGTGCACTGGCTGGGGCTGGTCTCATGGCCAAGAATTTCTGGAATCGTCGAAAAAAGCGAGAAGATGATGCCGAATCGGGTCGTTACAGACCCGCCCATTCGCGCAGTACTAGCCACACGGATGAATCTCTCAGCAGGATAGAAGATGGTCGACCGGAGCCGACACACCACACGCCCCTTAATCGACCACCGAGCCGTGTACCAAGCAGGTCCCAAAGCCCGGGGTCGTCTTACTATTACAACAGCACATATCTCACTGAGCCTCCTAAGCGAAACGCTTCTCATGGGGTTAGAGACGCTGTTCTGGGTGCAGGTGCTTTTGCTGCCGTGAAGCGACTGTTTAGCCGCGGTAAAAAGGACGATGAAGAGAAACGGCGGCTGGAAGATATCAGGCGCCGAGAAGATGAAGATGAGGCGCTGCAGAGAGCAAACAGCAAACGACGGCCACAGACAGGAGGAAGTTTCTACCCACGAAGAAGGGCCAGTTCGTATAGTGAAACTGATCTCACTGAAACCGATCTGTCCCGTCCTCCACCTCGACACGCATCACATGGAGAATCTCTTCTTACTGCAGAGCCACTCGCCTCTGGTGCTGTCCATAGCGTTGTATCAGATATGCCGCCTATGCCCCCGAGCCACCAGCAGTTCTCTGAAGATCCTCACTCACGTCACTCTCTCGCCCATGATGGAGCAGAATTTGCATCAGGTGCGGCTGCTGGGGCAGCACTAGATGCAGCCGCCCGCCGTAATCGGAGCAGCAGCCGGCGCCGAGAGGACGACGTTGCCTCCCCGCCGGTATCTGTGAAAGTGAAAATGCACAATGACGGACGACATGTGACACTCCGTCGGCTGACCGAAGAAGAAGCGGCCGCGAGCCGTGAGGCCCGTCGCAGAGAGCGAAGAAGCTCTCGACGTCGCAACAGCAGTGCAGGCTCCTTGTCTGGCAACGAAGACGCCGGCCACGACCGCTGGCGTCGCGTTGAAGAACTCGAACGTCAACAAGACGAGCAGATGCGACGTGAACAGGCTGCTGCTGCTGCTCGCCTTGCCCCTCCACAGGCACCTTCAGGCAGCATGCCACCTCCCATTCCTGCGCCTTCCAGCAACCCATATGGGCCAGGCAGTGTCACTTCGCCTACATATACCGGTACTGAGATGAGCGGCTCTTACGCGAACAATCGTCGCCGCAGACGTGCTGAACGAGCCCGGACCCGACAAGAGAGGCAGCAGCAGCACGGTGTGGAATTCACGTGATCGCTTTCTTAGTACCGTCTAGAGTTCTCTGCTTTTTTCTCTCTTGTGTCTACTACAGACTCAGCTTACGACGTGTACAAAACGAGTTATGTCCTTCAGAGCCGTGTTGATATAAATGACCCCCTCCCCCCAAACCTTATGTCACGTTACTATGCCTTTTTGATATGTTTTCCATCTTTCTTAAATGTGCTCTTGAGGCGACGAAATGATTTTTTTAGTTAGCATTTCCTTTCTCATTCCTATTTTTATGATGTCAGCGATTTAAAGGATCTTTTATTGGGTTGTTAGCTAGCTTTTTGCTGGTCTTCTTGTCTTCATGTTTGTGCTGATATACCCGGTCTTGGTATTGGTTATCTGTCCTATTCTTCCTGGGGTTCTCCTGAGGCATAACCGAGTGCAGCTTAGAGAGTTATGCGGTTAATATCGAACAATATTCTGTGCAGTAGACCCTACATTGAACCTTAGGTATAGATGCCCATGATCTCGGACATTGTTCACGGAGATTAGAAGCCCTCACAAATAATCTAACGCCTAATTTCTGACTATCTCATGTTCAGCTCAAAACAGGATATCCTGCGGCCTGTCCTCGCTAAGATTAACATGCTGTGGTAAGGCTAATCAATGGAGGTTCAAAGCGAGAAGAGACTGCATAGGATCGATTCTATAATTTTGTAATGCAAGAAATTAAAGTGTGAATTTTTTATTCTAAAGCAAGGTATTCGAGTGCTAAGGTTAGCTCTGGGGGTGTGCATCGATGTGTAGATTGAATTCATTTTGTTTCATTATTATCTCTCATCCTTCTTGACAACTGCTTGCTTGGTAGCCCGTCATGATAGTGACCTATGTAGACATGGAGAGTCCCTATAAGTCAATTGAATCCTCTCATCTCATTTACTTTAGTTCAGTGGGAATTTCTCTACTAAAAACTAATACAAGAGACTCCATTCTGGAAAAATCTGTTTCATTCCTACCCATAACTCGGCTTTCGGCCACAAAAATGTATCAAATAGTGACTAAACTCATTTCTCACCCGCGTGAACCAAGGTACGCGTAGAATACTGCATAAAACTGTCTTTGGAGGAAATACGAACGGAATTCGCTGGTGCACATGTCGCTTCGATCTTGTTCAACCTCAATTGCTCACCCTAAGGGTGAAGCTACTGAGTCCGAATGGCCGTGTCCGGGTTCCACTGACAGCCACAAGACACTCCGCACTTGGACAACACAAGAAGGATGGTTCTCGTCAGTAGATACAGTAAAGCTCTGGCAAGGTAGAGCATTACAACGCCGACCCGGGTGTTTGTCAATGGGTATGTTGCAACGAAGATGACATTGAGAGGTAGTAGTACAACCCGCGCCGGGATGATGAAGCAAGTGTGTAATAGCAAGTCATCAATGATCGGGTGGCAAGTGATGTTTTCAAATTCGGTAGGGAAATGCGGAGAAGGTTGCTGAGGGAGATCAGTTCGAGTCATTCGAAATTTGAATGCGTACTTTGATGCTTTCTCAATGGATGAGCTAGGCGCAGGTCTGGTTCTGTAAAGCGAAAACGAAACAGCAAGAAATGCAGGGATGTTCTGCTCGGTGTTACCCGTTATTTTCGAGTCATCTGCAACAGGAGTGTCGCCCACATTGCCGGCTCTCACTTCCCGGGCATCACTACCCGAGCCAACACGAGCGGGGAGAGTTGTTTGACCTGTTTCACGATAGGTTAAGCTGCAAAGAGACGAGTCACGCAGATCATGGTTCTTTGGGATGATTCTTTTTGTAGGGATGTTGCATGGTGAGCTTTTTCGAGAGTTCGCGCGACCAGTGATCTTCCATTTCCGGTGTTGTTTCTTCTGTCGATGAAAAGCAACATAATCCTGTCTTCTTTCAATCGAAGGTAGGGGACGACGTGTCGCACGAGAAGGCGAAGACAGAGAGGCCGCAGGAGGAGAAAATCGAACGCATCGCGGTAGTGGACCAGAATTGCTGGATTTCTTGAAGTCACCGGCATTCATGCTTGGCTGACGATTCGCCAGGGCAGTAACAGGAGGTTTGATCCACTGTCGGCGGCCAACCGAAAGGCGTCGCAACTTTGAGGGTTTAGGAGATTCACTTCCGTCGTCTTGATAAACAAAGCTTGCCTCTGGCGAATCTTGGAAGCAATCGAAATTGAACTCCCCCGTCCCAGGCGCAGGACTCGTCTGTACGTTCTCCATTTTATAGCATCGAAGCGACTCAGTAGATTCCTCTATGCTCCCTCGTTCGCTATTTGATGCGGGGGTGTTTTGGGGATTCAATGGTTCAGTGAGACCGTCAAGAGCGTGGTACTTATCCACAGCGACATCCAACTCAAGTCGAGGACATTTTCGGCTGGAATCGAAACCACGGAAAGACTCGCGAAATTCGACGCTTCCGTGAGCTTGCTTCGGGCTTGCTTCTGCTTCTGGCTGGCGGCTGCTTGGTTGTCTTTCGTCAGTTCCATCAAGCCCGGTGAATGGCGCAAAGAGAGGTGAAAAGAAACCATCCATTGGTGAGTCCGTCATCATCAATCGAGTATCCACCATGCCCAGAGGGTCTGACTTGAGTGATTTGGCGAATGCCATGTTTGCACGGTCAGCTGAAGATAACAGTCGACCGTCGGGTCGGGGATTGGAGATGAAATGGGCAAGTCATGTGCTTAACTTCCAAGCTTGGAAGGTGCGCTCCCGCCTCTACCGCATAGAATGTAGACAGATATAATAAACACGTATAATTAGAGGGAAGGGAGAACTGCTATAATTCTACAGGTTCATGGTTTAGGCGATAATGGTTATGTACATCAAATTTATTTGACGTGAGCCTGCAAGCTCTCGAGAACCTGTTCAAGAAAAGGAAAGTCAGTAATTAACCAGTCCGGTAGTCCCGCGGGTTCATACCTCGAGCTCAATCTTGGCCTCGGCGATATCCTGCTCGCTGCCGCTGCCGCTGGCAATCTTCTGGGCCTCGGTGATCTGGGCGCGGATAGCCTAGTAAGGAAGCTCCAGTAAGCTTTAGTCGCGACATTGGAAAGGAAAAAAAAAACCTACATCGGCGCTGAAGTCCTCAAGGGGGAAGCCCTCGACAGCGTTGATGCTGAGCTGGGAGTCGGGCTGGACGACGGCGAAACCACCGGACACTATACAGTAGCACCGTTGTTAGTCGATTGATTCCAATTCACAAGAGACCAGATTTGCGAAATGTTTCAGAGCGCAAAGATCGGACGTACGGAAGTACTGCTTGGTAGCACCGCTCTCCTCGATGATCTCGACGAGACCGGGGTTGAGCTGCTCGATAGAGGGAACGTGGTTGGCGAGAACACCCATCTCACCGGAGGCGGCGGGAAGGTTGACCTGGGTACTGTGATCGCGAAGGTTGGTCAGTATTTAGGAAAAGGGCGGAGGCACCGTCGACGCGGGCGCAATTGGAAGCATAACATACACGCCAGTCGAGCGGTAGATGGTCTGTCAAGCAATTATCAAGTCAGTACTTAGGCTATGATGTTGGGATGCCGGCCGGACTTCGTTCACGTACCTGGTGAGGCAGAGTCAGGGACAGCTTGATCTTGTCGGCGACAGCCTCAGCGTAACCACGGCGCTGGACGGGAGCACCGAGGAAAGAAGGGCGAGCCCGGAGGGCGGAGCGAGCAAAGCGGAAGGAGCTCATTTTGCAGTGGTGGATGACGTGCAAAGGCTGGATTATCCGTCTTGAAGTTGCGTTGCAAAGGTCGAAGTCGGAATGCCGGTTGTTCCCTAGCGGCGGGTCACGTGGCACGGGAATTCAACGGCCGGACCATGGCCAGTATGAGCTGCGTTGGCTACAGTCATTGTATGCATATTTTGAGAACACAAGGAGAGAACACATATTCAATTCCTGTGCTATGTATTTTAGTATTTATCCATTTTAGAATATAAGTTCCTGCCAGAACTCCGATTCCTAATGTAATATTTGCGGCCGAGAACAAGTTGGTGCAGGAATTCTCGCTAAGAGTAATCAGGCACAATACATTGTATCTGTATACTGCACTTGCTACTATCAAGTCGCCTCCGAAATCAAATCTCTTCTTCAATACCTCGTAGACAGCATTGGAAGTATCTGGCACGTGATATATATATATAGGTCACGTGTATTAAGTGGCAGAATGAAGGGAGAAAAACTCGCGGACTGAAGAACTGCTAAAAGCGAGTTAAAAAGACCCCGATTTCCAACCAGGTAGAACGGCAAAATGAAATATAACAGGATACAAGACCAATCAAAATAGCACAACGTTTTCTGGGACAATCTTGCAAGTAAGAAGTCACCTAGTGAAGCTGTAGTATGTACACCGCCCAATAAGCGAGATCCCACAAACGGAACGAGCCCTAGCCGAGCCTCTTAGGCCTGACGTCCCTATTCCCACTCCTCTCCATCTATCACCGTCAATCAGCGACAACATCCGACAAGATGGCCAGTACGTTTTTACCACGACCCTATGACTTTCGCTCCTCTGCAAGCTGGCGAGAGAGAAGAAAAAAAGGCGATGGCGCTGACATGATTTTCACCTACAGAGTCCAAGAACGCGTCCCAGCACCACAGCAGCCAGAAGGCTCACCGTAACGGGTACGTTTGCCCTTGAACTTCCTCGGTCACCCTACTATTACACTTGTCCGACATTTTTCAATCAATCCAATGAACATGGTGGAAGAAGTGCTAGTGTGCGAATGGTTTTATCCGGCGTGATGAATCTTGAGGTCAACGACTTGGAATATTCGCCCGGGCAATCTCTTCGAACCACTGCATTCGACCACCATCCGCCACACCATCTCACCCTGAATCGAGTCGCTGATATATTTGTCCGAACAGTATCAAGAAGCCCAAGACCAACCGTTACCCTTCCCTCAACGGTGTCGACCCCAAGTTCCGCCGCAACCACCGTCACGCTCTCCACGGCACCATGAAGGCCCTTGTACGTTGACCACAACCCGAACCCACCATCCATTACCTATGGAACGGAGTACTGACACATTGAACAGAAGGAGCGCAAGGAGGGCAAGCGCGAGGTCGCATAGATTATGAACTCAGTCTTAAAAAAATGGGAAACATGAAATGCAACTCGAGCGTGCAAGAGGTCCAGAGAACATAACGTGTGTGACGATCAAGGACGGTCCGCTGTGTCGAATAGGCCTGATTTTTGCTTATTTCTTGCGCGACGAGCCTCGAGTTGTTTGATATCAGGAAATCAACAGGCTTAATTCGATGTGCACAGCGGTGCCATTTTCCCAAGCGGAATCTCTTCTGCTATATCCCTTTCTTTTTTTTTTTCTTCTAGACCCGAGGACTCAACTTCGTCTGTGTTGTGGCCCTTGAGCTTAGTTTCTCCCCTTTTCCCAGAACTCCCGTCCGGCATATGTGTGTACAGCTGCGTGCTTTTCTCATGCGCGATTGCTGAAGGATTTTTTCTTAACGTGCCAAGAAGAACCCCCAAGTCCCCGATTGCTATATATCCTGTCTTGATTCTTCTCGATGCGACAGGGTTCATGGTCAGGGGGGCTACATCCCGTAGACAGTAACAGTCGTTTTTATATTTAGTTATGTCTAAATCAATTCGTTTACCTCTACTTCACATTTGCTTTCACGTCCATGACACTCGTATTGGCCTGGATATTCGGTATAGTCACAAAGGTCATACCTTCCAAATAATCAACCTTTTATCAAACCCACCACTGATAACCCATTCCTCCCAGACCGGGTCACCCTCTTCTTGGGGTACAGCAACAAGACCCGACCAAACAGTCCTCACCTTAAAGCCAGAGTCATGACCACCCTTCAACGTAGCAATGATCTTCCCCGTCTTCGTCTCAATGCCACGAACCACACCATCATCTCCATTGACCCAGATGCCAGACCCATTAGGCCGCCATGCCACTTGCGGTGTGGAGTAAGCAGTTTGCGGCGAGAAGGTGTTTGCCTGCACGAGGATAGCAGCATCCTCACGGTTCTGCAGTTCCAGTGTTGCCAGTGCCTGAGACGCCTGTGTCACCGGGTCCTCTGAAGCGGTCGTTGCAGGGAATAGCAGACGCACGATGATCACTTTCAAATGGGGCAATGTCGACGTCGCTACGGCCAGGAGGCCTGGGTCGTGTGGACTGAGCGCCATGTGGACCGGCGAGAACGCAACCCAGGCATTGGAATGGGGGGCCAGATTCTGCTGTCCAAGGAGGCGAGCTTCCCGCGGTGACTTCTCGGCAGCGGGTTCATCATTTGCACGAGTATCGGTTTCTTCCGATGCTTCTACCTGGTAGTAGTAGATATAAGTCGAGTCTCTGCGCGAGACGAGAAGGAGCAGCTCGTTGGTGTCCACGTGTGGGACGAACAATAGTGAATCCGGGTTTGAGTTGAGTTTAATGCGTGCAACGGGCTCACCAATTGTGAGAGATAGCGCGTCTACTTCGTCGGGAATATTGAGGCAATATAAGAAAACACACTCGTCCCACCCGGCGGTGGCAACCCACCACTTGGAAGGATCAGCCTTGTCTTTGTAGACTACCACCTTCACTGCGTACTTTGCGTGGTCCTTCCTGCTGTCCAGTGTTTGGGATCCATGCTGGAGGAGCAGCTGTCCAGACATGTTGGTCATGAGGATGTACTGGCCCTGGAGGATCGAGACAACCGATAGAACAGGCGAATCAGAGATTCCCGAGAATGATTTGACAGCCGTATTACCTTCTGCCGTCTGGAGTAAATGTACTTGCCTGTCTGCACCCGTGGAGACGATATACGACTGCGCTGGTGCAGCGTCTGCGGCGACTTGATCGGCATCGCCGCGGGGTTTCTGCCATTGCTCTACCGACGCAGCAAGGATATTTGATGATGTCGGTGTCTGGATGATAGAAGGTCTTGATGGTGCTAGAAGTCTGTCAGATACCAGAACAAAGGCAACCGCTGATAGTTAAAGCTAGGCCGAGTCCCAATGACTTTCGACTGCCATTCCGGAATAAAACCCACCTGGCTCGCTCCATAAAGTCGACTGCTGATTGCCTTTTCCATATCTTTCAAAATTCACAGTTTGGTCATATGTGCTCTTCTCTTCAAGCAAACTTTGGATGGTCCAGTTGTTGGTGTCGTCGCCCGAGGTCTGCCCCACGTCAGGAGCAAGGTCAGCCTCGCGGATAAAAGCCTTCAGTGTCTCTGAATAGTCATTGTTGCGCAGGAATCGCGCAACTATAGCACTTGCTAGTGCATCAATTGTTCTGGAGGTGGCCATGCTTGTATCTGATGCCTCGGAAGGATTTTGGTTGGGGAGAGTTAGTCGCGCACAACGCGACTTGTATATATATTCCCATGCACGACTCAACTAATGTTACTTTGGTCTATATCTTCTTTTGCGTTATATTGGAGATTACAGAAAATATACGGGTTCCACCCATCAGCAGAGCAGAGTATGTTTCATTATGAAACTTTTATCAGACAATCGATTTCCCCATCCCATTCTTGAAACGCCGGATATCCACCATGCTCCCGAAGCCTCATAATCAAGCAAATGCACAAGTTCTCGGCCTATCGCTTAGTCTATTCAGCTGAACATATCCTCAGCCCGACGCCGACGACCGCCGCGTCCCTCTAGTGTCTCAGAAAACAATTCCTTGCCAGCGTTGGCGCCAACTTTGATGTTATTGTTGGTGCCATTGTCGTATTTGGAAGGAAACAGCTCGCGCACCGACGCACCCTTGCCTTTAATCGACATGCCGCTCGATGAGCCGCCTCGGATGGCAAATCCTTGGTCCTCGGTGGTTGTGGCTGCTCCACGAATGCGGGCGCCATTGTTGGTGGAATCAGGGAAGAGCTCAATATTGCTGTGGCGTCTGTGTTCAGAGGTGCCCGGGGCAGAAGAAGCGTCGAATGCATCTGACCGGCGATGGTGACTAGCCTTGCTGGGCAACAACTCTTTCTTGATGTAGCTGGATGTGGGCTTGTTTGGGAAAAGCTCGCGGTTTCCTGACTCGCTCTCGCTCGCGCTTGGGAAAAGCTCTTTACTTTTGTTCTTACGACCTCTAGGCGACCTCTCACGGAACCGCCTGTTATTATCACCACCGCCTCGATTAACTCCAAGTTCTTCCTCCAACGTGTCTCGTCCTGGAGACGCACTGCGATTCCGGAGACGTCCACTGGATCGGCCCTCGGCATCTGGGAACAGCTCTCTCTGGCCGCGACCTCTAGGCTTTCCCCGAGCGCGCTCGGGTTCAGAGCCAACATTATCACCGTACATGTCCGCATTGAAGTGGTCATCCTCGGCGCGGTCTCGGCGGCGCCGGTGCTCCCGGTCGTCGAATCTGCGCCGGCTGTAGTCGCCATCCCCTGCATCATCGCTACGTCTCCTGTCCGCAAACTCTTGCCGCAAGCGTTCTCGGGGATCATGCTCGGGGTGCATGAGGTAGAAGCGACTCTTCTCATGAGCGCGTGCTTGCTTGCGGTCCGACTTGACAGCCGATCGCACTTGGAGGACGGAATCAGGGTGGGAGGAGAGGAGTTTCGCCGATCGGAGACGCAGAGGTGGCAAGGTAGACGCGTCTTCTTCCTCGGCGACTTGGGTGAGAGCTGTGAGAGCTTGGAGGCCGATTTCGGCGGAGGAGAAGACGAGGTTGGCGGATGTGTCGTCGATCCATTCGACGCGCACTGGCTCCTGTCCA